AGACTGAGATGTTCATCCCCAGCGTTTTGGGGAGAAATACAATTTTTGTCCTAGTCCTTATTTTGTTTTCCATTTGTTGCCTTTGATGAAGAACGTCATTGTTGGGTAGAGTATTAGGTAGAGTATTGGGTAAAGTATTGGGGAGAATATTGAGTAAAGTATTAGGTAGAGTATTGGGTAGAATTCAGCCAGTTTTTGAGGCTACCTCCTAGCATCTGCCTTCTGCTATGATGCTTGCACTCCTAACCGTCCTGTAATTAACAGTGCCTCATCTTGGTGGCTCCATCCAACAGGCTTTCCTGGCACGTTGCTCGGTCGGCAGAGGTCTTAGTGCATCATCTGCAGCTGGCTTCCTCACCACTGCATTTTCTTATCCTCCAGTACTAACAATCTCACTGACCAACCCAGGGCTGGTTACTTTAACGGCCTCCCTTTAGGTGATGAAAAAAAGCAGACGCATCCCTGTCTGCTAGTGATTGTTACTGTGCTTGAGGACACTAGACCTGGACCCCAGTGGCCACAGCTGTGGAAAAGGCTCATTTCAATTTCGTGCACAAAGAATTATCTGGGCAGACTGACTCCCAGTTCTGTCCATAACCTTACTTACCTGCACTGGATGAACCAAATGATGGCTTTGGCTCCTGCATGCAAGACATAGAACCTTGCCATTCCCATGGTTTCTGTGATAGAGGGACAGGTAACAAGTCTGCTGGAGAACACATTTTTTCTTCCATGGAGACTTTTTCCCCCAGTTCTTTCTCACATTTTTCTTCCCCATTCCTTTCAAGGCTTGTATCTCATGCAACTGGCAACTTTTACATGGAAAAAAGCATGATGAAAAACGAGCACTCACAATTTGTTTATGTACAAGCTCTACACAAGAGAGGCAAGGCTTATAGGAGTGAACAGCTACAATGTTCAGCTGTAAAACACTGAGACGCTCTCTGTGCTTAGCATAAAAGTGCCCAACAGGCTGTGATAGTGATAAATACCATCTTGGGAAACTCTTGTATGGGAAGATTGATGGATGCAAAGATTTCCAGTCTGAGCCTGGCTCATACTGGAACCAGTGCTCTGTCCCTTTCCAGTTGCCTTGAGGTAGCTCAGTCCTAAACTGCTTTTTCTTTAAATGAGAATTTGTATGCCCACATCTCCTCCCACCTCCTGTGGGTGCGGCAAATGTGGGGAACAAATAGGAGTGTTATTACTGCAAATAACAGCTTAGAAGAGCTTCAGACTAACTCCCAGTGTCTTAATAGAGCCCGTCAACATGGAAAGACCATTGAGTAGCATCAGTCAAATGAGAAACCACTTAGCAGCACAGCAGTGTGGGAGATTAAAATGCCTCTTTGTAGAATATAAAGGTCAGTGAGGCAGTAAACTCCTTAAAGGGGAAGACAATGCATTTCACAAATGAAGTACCCAGCCTGGAAAGATATGTGTCAGCCATGCGGGTCAATAATCCCTTCGAAAGGAAGACACATTTATAAATGCCATTTGGAGACTTAATGTTATGTGAAGGTAATGGCAGCCACAGGTCCCCAGCTGGGATGAAAACCCTCAGAGACAGTTATATTCATCTTTCTGCTCTCTGCTGCATCTTCTGCTACTCAGGTGTGAGAGAGCAGCCATGGGGCGCCAACACACCCTGCCCCACTTTCATCTCCATGGCCATCCTCTATCCAGGCTTAACCATCTCTTGAAATCACACAACTGTGCATGTACACTTCTGGAGGCTTTTTAATTGCACTTGACAACCAGAGATTTTGAATGAGTCTCTGCAGCCAGCAAGTGGCAATGGCCTCATCACACTTCAGGAGTCCAGCTCACTCAGCTGATTGGAGTGTCATTGAACTCACCTGTCCAAAATCATCCCTCTCCTGCACATTGGATCTACCTTTCTATTCTACTCGGTTGGTTAAAAAAAAAAAAAATGGCTAAAAGCATAAAAGGCAATAGTAGTTTCGAAATTGTGCCAGACAGTTGTAGCATGTAGATGGAGGAAGGTGCATTTAAGTCACAAATAAACACATAGAAGCAGAGAAGTTGAGAGTATTTTGCAGAGGTGAAGTCTCATCTTCTTCGTGACACCAAATCCAAAACCATACTACTAGCAAACCAGTAAGTCGGAGCAGTTTAGCCTCCTGCCTGTTTTCCAGTTCCATTTGCTATGCATTTTGCTGCTGATAATAATAGTAATAGCCGGCTCTTCAAGCTTTTCCAGAAAAAACTGATGTCTCTCAGACTGCTGCCAGCAGGAGATCTGGAACAGCTCGCTATGAGAAAATGCTGATTCTGAGAAGTCTGAATGTTTCAGGGGACAGTATCAATATCATCTGACTTTTATTTAACATTCTGCTTGGGTAAGGTTGAAGCACTTTGTTTCAGCCTCATCACATTGACTTTCAAATGAATTACATTTTACAACAACAAGTGTTGCAATGAGGACATCTGTAAAAACCCCGACTTGTTTGGGAAAAAGGAATCTTCATTACATGAGAAATTCCAAAATGGTAAGGTCCTGCTTCAGAAATTGCTGAGTTCTTTCTGAAATTTCTTTGTGTTGGAAAGAATAGGAACCACAGCGTTCAGGGAGCACTTGCTGAAACCAACCAGCTCAAAAGTGACATCGACAGTGAACTTGCCTATTCATGGGGGGAAAAAAAAGAAGAGAGAGGCTGAAGCTCACGTGAGAAACGGGAATCAGCTGTCCTCAGGCCAGCTACATCTATAAGCATGCTGTTCACCAGGCATAGCAGGAGCCAATCGGCCTCCTAGAGCTGGCTGGAGGTTTCTCAGCAGCACTAAGTGCTGCCATCCCATGGATGTTTCCGCCCTCGGAAGCAGCAAAGGGAAGGCAGTGTGCTCAAGAATGATGCTCAGGCAGTCCTTCAGATCTCTCTGTTGAGGGAGATCCAGTCATACAAGCTTCCCAGAGCTGCGCTGTTGGAAAAACAAATCACAAGCACTTCGCTGCCCCAAAAATGCTGTGCCAGAACTCAGCATGACTTCTGAAGCCACTGTCACCACAATGCACACTGACTTGCTGCAGTACCACTAACCTGCTGTGCATGCCTTAATGAATCAGTTCCTCTCTGCCTTCTCCCATCTTCCACTGGTTTTGTCCAATTTTGCTCTTCCTGAGGGCAAGAACTCCAGGTGGCTCTTTAGTGTCTAACACGACCTTGTTTAGCTCTCCTAGGCAGGAATATATTACAGATAATAAACTTCAGCACTCGGATGATGAAAATAGCCTGGAGTCTTCATTTGACATTGCACTCGACATGAGCATATATGAGATCAGATCTTGCATTATCTTGATCTTTGCAATGGGTTTTGTTGCACGAGGAACTCAGTGAAACCCATAAAACCGAGACATGAAATGCAGCTGTCTGCCTCCATCACATCTTTGATTTGGATGTTAAACCATGTGGAGACTGCATGCTCATTGTAAATACATTAGGGAGGCAAAACAAAAGCATCTCAAGGAAATGGTAAATGGGTAAAAGGCTTCTGAATTTTTTAATAACGCATGCTCTGTGTGACGGGTGTGCTGAGGATCTTGTTTATAATCTTGCTGCAAATCCAGTACTCTGAACTAAAAGCTGTTTGGTCCTTTCAAGCTTACAGCCCTTTGTTTGCAACATATTAATGGAGCAATTTTTAAATAATGACTTTTTTTTTTCTTTTGGAAGGTGCTTTTTTTTTTGCAGTCAGAAGCTGGTTCTTTTTTTTCCCAGTCTGCACTCTGATTCATTAGTACTAGTTGCATACAACTTGTAGAGGTTTATTTGTTCAGTTAGAAATAGGACATTAACATTTTAAGAGAATGATGCATAGCTTTTAGCTGATGCTCTCTTAAAAAGTGCAGAATGCCACATTCTCTCCCTCCAAAATGATAGGTTTATTATAAACACTTCACTTGGACTGTGATTTTCTCTCTCTCTGTTGTTTTTGTATGTGTTTTTTTTCACTATTCTTTTTTTCTAAATGAAAACACTTAAATTTTTATGCATGCATTTGCATAAAATAGAGATCAGTGTTATGCGGAGTCAAGAAAAAAAGCCAGTGGGTCCCACCAGTAGAACCTTTCCTGTGCCTTACTAAATGCAAGCCAGGATCCTTCCACTCTGTGCATCACAGTCATGGCCTGGAGAAACATTTGGCTATGTCTAATATCCCATATCTGAGTGCCAGCAGTCACTGTAGCTCTTGTTGCTGGGTGTGCATGATATGCTCTGAACATGTGTATGTATTTATATATCCTGTTGCTCAGTGAACACCTCAAGATGCAAACTATCAGTTGTTCTCCTATTGACTTTCCAAAGCATTCTGGACACTTGAGTAGGAGTTTAGTATCTAACTCACTCTAAGATACTGTCCCTTTGAGAGAAGAATGAAGTTCTTCATTACATGCAAGATATTGCACTGAGCGGGTGTTAAGGCCATAAAATCAAGTGTTTGTAAATTAAACCACGCCACAATTACAATTTACCACTCTGTCTGAAGGTAGTTCACTGGAAATATAAGCACTGTGACACATCATGTGCTTTGTACTGTCTCTTCTGCTGCTTTTAGCTTGGCCAAATGTGGGTAGATGAGATACAGAGGAAACCTTGTTTCTGATACAGGATCACTTCCTCACCACATAACAGCATTTTCGCCCTTGCTGCAGCATATGTGGACTGTCGAATTTTTCCATGAAATTGCTTCTGGAATTTCTTAACATCAGTAAAGCAAAGGATTTCTAACATGAGATACTTGTAAATGACTGAATTGCATGGAAAATATCAGTGAAACAAAAAAAGCTGAAAAGGGCAAACTCATCTGGGGAGAAGTCAGGCATCTAAACATTCTGCTTTAAGCCGTGCATAACCCAACACCTTATGCAATTATTGCCCTACTAACCTATGCCTTCTTGGCCTCAGTATTTACCAGAATACAAGCATTTATAGCTTCCCTAGTCCTCTTTCAGATATACATTTTTATTTTGCCTCCAGGTGCAGCCCAGACAACACTGAAACCCTGGAAATCTGCTGGCAGTGACTAATGTTCCTCTCCTTCCCCCTCTGTGCTGTGGTCCTGTTTACCCAAGGTAAGCTATAGGGCCTTGGGCACCTGATCTAGAGATTGGCAGCCCTGCCAACAGCAGGGCTTGGAATTAGATGATCTTTAAGGTCTCTTCCAACCTAAGCCATTCTGTAGTTCTATAATTCCGTGAAGCTGCACAGTCCAAGATGCTCATTCCCATTTTCCAGGGCACAGGGTCTCTCTCTACGAGCTTCCTCATCTCAAATAGTTGGTTATATCTGCCAGGGTTAATTCTACAGCGTTTGGACAACCTGGTACCACGCATCCTAAGAGAGAGAGCTGGTAAGGCCGGGGGCAGTTTGAGTCTGAGAACTGAACGAGATGTTAGTTCCAATCCCAGAGCTGCCAGCATCAGGTTCATAGAATCATGGACTTATTAATGTTGGAAAAGACCCCTAAGATCATCTAGTCCAACCATCGAAATTTGCACCTTCTTAGGCAAACCACATTTAGATTTGCCTGTGACATCTTTCCCTTAGCACTTAGGTCAGGGACTAGCATCCACCTGGCTTTGTAGTCCACTGGAAAAAAACGTTGCTGTATGTGCCAACATGATGACCATGGACACATATTGACTGTTATGTGACTGCAGTTTGTGTCCAGAAAGCACAGCTGACAGCATTTTAAAATAAAAGGGTATGAGTGTTGTAGTCCAGGTTCGAGAGTGATCTGGAATAGGAAAAGGAGGAGCATGGCATCGTTTATGTGAGTAAATGTAGTATTCAAATGTGTATTTATGGTTTGACAATAAACTAAATTGAATCCACCAGCTACCTGGCAACAAAGGGATGTAGAAGGTACAGAGAAACGAGATTTATCAGGCTGGACAGATTCAGGCAAAGCAAGGAGAATGAAAATGAGGTTCCTATGAATTTCCTGGCTTTTGTCAGCTTGTGTCATGCACAGTCCTTAGTATTAACTGGCTCTACATTTGTATCTGTTATCATCTATTTGGGTGACCGAGACTAGCAATTAGTAATAATAGCAACAGGAATAATGCTGCTTTCTGAGCTGAGAAATATCTGACACTGATTAAACTGCAAATCTAAATAATTGATATTAATTACATGAAGTTTTTAGCAATAATCTGCACAAAAGAACTCTGAAATTAGAGGATTAGAAGCCACAGATAATGTTCAGCAGCTGGTCCAAAGACATTATGCAGGCGTGTAGGTGACGTGAACCTAAGGACTGTGGTTCATAGAGCTCTTCATCTTCTTTAACACATGTTGAACTGGCATTTTGCTGAGGTAAGGCATCCAGCCAGATGAAAAAAATGGATTACTTGGTCCATGGCACATTGGAAAAAATTGACCTAAACTTTCTGTTTTTGAACAAGGAAGCATTCCTTGAAGATGTCCAGTTTTATGGTTTTGGATCCTGCTTTCCAATCCCCATTTGCAAGCTCAGGACAATGTATACACAATCAAGTATCATCCCAATGAGATGCAACCCGACAAGGACAGCTTGGATGGACCTTAGGCAGCCTGATCTGGTGGGGGGCAGCCAGTCTATGGCAGGGGGTTGGAACTGGATGATCTTAAAAATTTCTTCCAACCAAAGCCATTCTATGATTCTAAATGATTCTATGAACGAGTCCAGATGTCATGGACATGGATTGGATCTCAAAACCACCACCAACAACAAAAATTTAATATTTATCTGCCCTGGAAAGACACTGACTTATGCTAAATCTGCAGCAGCAACAACATAGTAGATAGATGTCAGACAGTAGTTGAGCATCTGGCCCCTTATTGTATTTTAAATGATCCACATTTATAACTGTAAAGCAGACCGACAGGCGATACTGTCTAACATCACCATCACTAATAGCTCTAATAGCTCATGCATCCACAGCCTGCTCAACCTGTCCCATCTCAAAGCAATTTTGAGACAATGGGCTCAGCTCCTCTTAGATAGATATAAATGAGATATACAGAAAAGACACAATTTCCTCTGCCACAGCCAAGTGACACTGCTTCCCCCTCAAACCTGAACTACCACAGTGTAACAACTTTTATTTATTAATTCTAATTATTGTTTTGTGGTGCAGGTTTAAAAAAAAAAAAAAAAACAAAAAAAAAACAGTGAAAGGTGCAAATCATAATCATTAGGATTGGAAAAGAGCACTAAATCACCCAGTCCAGCCATCAGCCTACCCCCACATGCCCACTGACCATATCCGTCAGTGCCACATCCCCACAGTTCTTGAACACTTCCAGGGTTGGTGACCCCACCACCTCCCTGGGCAGCTGTGCCACTGCATCACCATGGGCAGGAGCTGGCCTATGCATACCCAACCTCTTCTAGCCCTTGCTAGTGAGAGTGCAGTTCCTCTCAAGGCCAGCATCAAGAGTTGCCTTTGCTGTGAATAATGTCCCACGGTGCACACAGTATTAGCACATCTTTACCAAAGGCTGTATTAATGCTGCTTTAGCACTGATGGGTTTGAAAGTCTCATAGCTTTTAAAAGGAGCTTTGTAGACTTTGGGCTTTCTGGCTGCTAAGAAGCCTGGATCTGCCATTATCCAGCCTACTACCTACAGGTGCTCCAAGAAGGAACATAATGGAGGATCCACTTAGTTTTCTCCTTGGGCTGTGAATGACAGGAAACTGGAATAGACCTCCTCTCAACAGAGCAGAGGCCTAGAAACACTGCTCTGGAAGTGAGAAGGAGGAACAAGGAATGGGGCTAAAGTAATAAGCACTGGGAACCCATGGTATGACATGTTTTGGCTCTTTCCAAACTTAATGGAGTTTTTATATATTGACATAAAAAACCACATTTTCTGTCTCCCCCCAAATAATTACCTGATAAACCCCCACTTTTGGAGTTGGCCCGAACCATCCATTATACCTCTGCCATGAACTTTATTTCATACCACACCGGGGAGAAGACAGAGCAGTTGGAGCACTCAGACATTAGATGTAATAACTAGCCATAAAAATCAATGTAAAATTTAATGCAAAAGGTCTGCGGGCACCCAACCATTGGAATCCAGTGATAAGGCAGATGGAGAGCAGCACTATGCTTTCCAGCAAGTAGTATATTTTCTTTAATGTTCCTGCATTATATGTAATGCTGTTGCTGTTTTGTCCATCTACATACTAGTTAAATGAGCTGCAGCCACAATATTTATGTCTCCGGGTGGTTTTTGGTTGCACTTTCCTCTTGGACACAGGGAGTGTTATGTATTCTGGATGGATCACATCACAGGACCTGGGAGGGAGAGAAGAAATGTCTTTCTGCCTTTTCCTTCGGTGTTCTCTGGTTGCTATGCAGGTGGCAGTCCTGCTGTGCCCTGTTCCTCACAGAGGGACTGAGAACAAAGTTGTTGTGAACCAAGGGTGCCTGACCCGGGCAGTTCCATGGGGCAAAGGTTGCATCTGCACACAGTCTGCGTGGGGTGGATATCACTCAGATGGTCCCCAAAGAAGTTCGGTTCTCACATGAGTCATTTCATGTTAAATAACAGCTCTTGTCAGCCACAGGATCCTTCCCAGCTTCACTGCCTGATTCACAGCACGTAGGGAAGAGGAGATGGAAACAGAAACCTTGGGCCCACCTGAAATATGTAAATAAATTAGAACAGACCAGAGGGTCACCCACCTTTCCTTTCAGCCTCACACAAACCGGCAACAGGATGCTTAAGTCCCAGCACAGGGACATGCTTCTTCAGTTCCTATCTGTCCTGGTCACTCAGCATTTTGCTTATCATACACATTCCCACAGGAGCAAGGAAAGGAAGGAGATGGTTTCATTCTCTCTCTGTTAGCACGCACAGGTGTGCAGATTTCAAGAGCTGAGAGTGATAGTTAATGGCTCCACGAAGGCAAAGAAGCAGGAGTCCTGCTTTTGTTGTAATGAAAAGCATTACACTGTTCTTTAGCATTTTAGCAACAGGTTTATTTCAAACATTGGTAACTCACAGAACCAGTCACTCTATTAGCTTCCTTTCAGATAGAGCCGTGGTGGCTATGCATGGAGTGTATTAAGTCTGGGGCATTTTCTTTCAGTTCTGGGAGCTATCATTGATTTTACCCTGACAGATACTTGGTTCCAACATATGATGAAAGGTCGTTTAAAAGAATTCTTAATTTCTCACATCTGTGATTCAAAACACCGCTATTTGGATGTCACAGCAAAACCCCACAGCAAAAAAAAAAGAAAAAAAAAAAAAAAGAAAAAAGTCTTGGCCAGAAGAATGGGGGTCATTGCAAAGAGACTGGAAGATGAAGAAACTGAAACAGGATTTTGTGAGGCCATTTTACAGTGCAGCTAAAGTACTCCAGAGTATTTATTAAAGCAAACTATTGTGCTATTCTGTACTGTTTAAGGTTATTATAGAACTTGTGTTAGAAGAGTAATTGCCTCTGGATGAGCATATGGCTTCATCTGCTGGTAGAAAAGAAAGCATTTCCATAAGCTAATGATTTCTGTATGAGAGCTGGACTGCAGTGATTCAGAGAATGCAATAGCTGAGTTTTCAGGCATAATCAGAAAGCACTTACTCTGGGATACAACACATCAGGGTGTGTTACATTTATTAGTGGAGATTACTATCTATCAGTGTCATCTGTGCACACCTTTCCTGCAGGTGCAGATGATTACCTGGTTTTACCTACAGTACTGAAGCGAAATGATTCTGCACTTTGGAAAGACACCTGGCTGCTCACCTCAGCACATCTGATGCTGCTGCTTATCAGGCAAAAAAAAAAACAGCTCAGTAAGTTCTCCTTGCTGTAATATTTTGGGTTGAGGCCTCTTTGAAGATACTCCTGAAATCATGAGATCACCTCAGCCCACCTTATCTGGAGTGGATAAAGGCAAGCATCTGGTGCAAGGGGTATTGAAACTCTCTTCCAAGGCATGATTGAAAAATTTCAGATGCCAAGCCTCAAGCTACAGCAGGAGGAGCAAATACCATCTCCATTTCACAGAAGAGCTGTTAGAGAAGCTGATGTGTTGCTGGTTATTACAGAGTTAGTAGCAGGGGTAGAGAAGTGAGTGGAGAGCAGCCTCTAATTTCATCTCAAGCTTCTGTAGAAGGATGACAGAGAGGGAGGAAGAGAAGAGGAGGGAAAAGACATGGAGAGGCAGTAAAGAAAGCAATGCACCATCTAAATTCCTAACTGATGTTTGGCACCTGAACACAGTGCTAAGCATCATGGCTATCTTGAGAACACCTTGTGTTACGTACATTGGGGTCATTGTTTTGGAAGAGGCTGAAGTGATGAAAACTCACTGGAGGGCTGCGAGTAGAGGGAAGTGCTGGGAAGGAAGCCAGCGCCTCCGGCACTGGAAGGCTGGAGGCTCTCCAAGTGACGTCTATGGTGAGCCAGTGACTGTCCTGCTCATGGGCCTATTTGTCACACTACACTAGATTATCACCCTCTATGCTTATAAATCCTTCCACATCCTCACTCCAGTATTACGGATGTGGCGTGCAGGCAACTGGCAAGGAGGTTTCTGACTCATGAAAACAGAGCTCCAACCATTCCCCTTCCAGAAGAGGTTCAGTATTTTGGGGTTGACACTACTTGTGGTTGACCTCTCCCTTACATATCCATTCCCCACTGTTCTCATCCATGCAGAGTTCAACTTGTTGGCTGCACTTTCACATAAGTCAACTGGCGGATGACCCATCTTTGGAGACATTCAAGGTCAGGCTGGACGGGGCTGTGAGCACCTGATCAAGCTGTGGGTGTCCCTGTTCACTGCAGGGGAATTGGACCAGATGGCCTTTAAGGGTCCCTTTCAACTCAAATGATTCTATGAACTGGGAGTCTGAGTTGTTCATATCTGCCATCCAGCCTTCCTCCCACTGCCGCCAACACAGACAAATCACTGTTATTATTATCAGATACTGCTAGTATTGAGAACAGTTAAACAGTCTTCACAGAATATAATCATCTCAATTGATGCTGAATTTGAAGTTTCCAGTATTAAATCAGCATTGAAACATGCAATTCTGATTTCAGTTCTATTTTTATTTGCATGGGGAAAATCTGAAGATGGTGTGAGGAAAAACCTGTTTGTTCTGGTGGTCTCATGCTCTGGAGTTACTTCTGTAGATCTGAAGATGTCCACCTGCCCAGGACGCTCAACTGAAGATGTTCCTCCTGCCAGAGGTCTCTGAGGAGAACTGTAAAGACACAATGCAGGGACAACCCCTGCAAAGCCAAGCCAGCTTCATCATTGTCCTTCTGCTCCTCAGACAAATCCAAGACCATAGGATGGGAAGTATTGGGAGAAAAAATAGAGGCATGGCGAGGAAACAGCAGAAAAATGTTCATAATCAGGTCAAAACACTGCTGCGCAGTGATTCTGCTCCTGTTCCTGTGTACCACCAAGCTCTTCTTGCACCCGCTAAAATCTAGTGGAAGCTGTTAAATTTTGCGTAACATCCAACTTAGTTCTGCCAGACCTCTGTGAAGAGGAAGCAGCAGGTTGAGTGTGAGCAGAGGGACTGCACATCTCGAGTAATGAAGTTGACTCATTACTCTGCGATACAGTCACCGGAGCCATGTGGGGATAGAAAACAAAGTGATGAATCAGGCCCAGCGTTTGCTTCAAGTTTAGACTGCTGTCTGGTTGGCAAATAGCTCTGAAACCAGTCCCAGTGCTGCGTAAGTAGCTTCATTACTCTTAAGTGCTATATTTACTGAATAATTTGGACCGATCGTTTTCAGGTTCGTTAGTCCCAATTGTTCAGTTTTCATATGGTTTGATTGGTTTCTCAAACCACGTGGTTTTGGTTTTTCTCCAAAACCGAGAATAATGGGTAGAAAAGTGCTAAAAACAACAACAAAAGAAGCACCTTCTGGAAAGTTGATTTGTTTGTGTTGTTTGGTGTTTTTTTTATCTGAATAATGACCTAGATGGAGCTCATTAAGCTCTTGGAGTTTGCAAACATTGTTTGGATGCACTGGAGCTCTCTGGGTATTTGGGGGAAAACAGTCGAAACCGGAGTTAATCTGAAGATAATTTAAGCCCCCATTCTCACCCACCATTTCTCCAGCTCGCTCCTTGGAGGATCAGTCACCCAGTGTGATTCTTCCTTTACTCTTTTTTTCTCTTCACCCCTCTGCCTCTCTCATTTTCTTCTCTCTGCTGGGACTGTTCTTCCATTCTATTTTTGTTTTAGGTCCAGCACCTAAATGATAAAAAATGACATGCAGCAAATAAGTGCTCTACCCAGAGGCTAGAGGATGGTTAAAGTCTAAATGAAAACAATTTATAATAAAAGCTCCAAATCTGCTGCCATTTAGCAAAAAGTTAAAACAAATGATCCCTATAAATCATGTTAAGATTTGTCAAGGATTTTCAAGCCACGCGTATTGCTTAATTACAGAACAATAATATGCAAGGAAAATGCTGATTATAACCTTTCAGGATATTTTCTTTAATGCTGCACCAGACTTCTTGGTGGCAGTTTCACTCACCTGTGTAGTGCTGTACCATGAAGAGGAGATGAAAATCAGCCATGTGGTTAAGGAAAATTATTCTCAGCACAAACTGCAGGTTAAGATAACATACTGAACCAATAACACAGCACCACAAGGATGCCAGTATCAGAACCATTAGCTACACTGACTAAGCATTGGCAAGTCAGAGATTTTGAAGCCAAGAGAGGGACTATAGACCTAATGGTCTGTGTGGCCCTGGCCCACATTACACCCTGCAGGAGGAGAGAGCTAAGGGACTCTGGAAAGGATGAGAATGTAAAGCAACAGTGGGACTCAGAGTGGGGTCCCAGAGAGGATACCAAAACACCTACTTTTGTGCAGAGCCCCATGGAGATAAGTCAAGCAGGATGCTCTCTCAAAGCTGTGCTATATGTCTGTTCTCAGTGCAAATGGAGCCATTTGGGAAGTTTTGGAGGTTTAGTGACAGGTGTCTTACTTGATTTAGGTTGGTTTTGGGTGATTTTCCTGAAGTTGCTTTTCTAACTGCCATACCTGGTTTTGGAGCATGCAAAAAGCTCATGGTAAAAGCAGGCTTATGTTTCTTTACGGTACCATCTCGAATGTATGACCCAGAATGGGTACTGTGCTGGACACAGAGTTGAAGATCTACGTTGTGAAGGGCTATGTTCTATGCTGGCAAAAGGACTGCCATTTTCAGGAATGCTAGACCAACATGAACTCCCCTCAACCCCAGCCCCTCCTGAAAGGAGGAAAGGAATAAACAAATTGGCTAATAAAATGATTTATCACATAGCATTTGGAATTTGCCCCCTTGAGCAAGCAAATTCATCAGCCAAATCCCTGCAGTGAATAGTGAGGCTTAAGGGTTGTTACAAACCCTGTGCTTCAGCATATGCAGAATGAACCTTCAGGCTTCCTACCTCTATGAATAATCCCAGAAAAGCCAGCTGACCTGTCAGAGGCTGTGCAGATAATGCCAGAATACATGATATTAATGAAGTAGTGGAGCTGTCACAAAGAGCAAGGATCACTGTAAAAATAAGGAGTGAAAAACTGATTGCATTACGGTTGTGAAAGTAAATGGGTTTCACTCCTATCCTTTAATTTCTTCATTTTTCATCAGATTCTGCCAAGGCTTCCATCGCAGACATGAAGAAATCTGGAAAGCCACCTCCACGCCCTGACGTAGCACTACAGCAGAGCCCTGAAGTGGCAGCTGTGAAATGCAGAACAGCCAGACAAAGCTGGTAACATGTTTGTACAGCCCAGGGTGTCAGGAGGAATCAGCTCCACGGAGCAGACAAGGAGACCGAGAAGTGAAGTTTTAGGTTCTCTCCTTGGTTTGCTACATTGCAAAGCAAGCTGTCCTCGAGTCCTCTGGGAAGTCTCTGCACAACAATTATCCCTCTCTTCGAGTCTGAAACGGAATTACTGCACAGGAATCTGGCGAGGTTCAGAGAAACACTGAAAGATTCTTGCATTAGAGACTTCAAAGTGTGACCCTGTGAATGCCAGAGGCCAGCTAGCACCTTCCTGCAGAAGCACGGTAAGCTAACTGCCCTCCGTGTTTTATTTCACTTCACATTGGGTGAATCTGCTCAGTCCAACCCCGCTCCTCTGTCCGTTTCCAGCTGCAGAAAACACGCTTCATGCTCCACACCAGCCCCAGGGACGTGATTGTGTTGCACTTTCATCTCAGTAGCTGGCTTAATTCAGGTTTATTTCATTGTCAGAGAGATATGCCAAGGCACTTAATTTCAGTTAGTCCTCAGCACAAACATGTTCTCATGGAAAATGTTGGCTTGTGGTGCTTGCTCTGCTCGAGGCTGCTGCCCTGGAGATGACCTCTCTTATATCCTCCTCTTATTTTAAAATGGCATCTGGCTGCTCAAAAAACACCATTTCTTTCCCACTCCCAGAACGCCATGAGTCCATGAGCGGCTAGGCACGTGTCCACTGCTCCTTGTGCAGAGGGCACGGGTCTTCTAGGCAGGAATGCCTGAGATGGCTCTGGTACCCCAGAGCAGTGTGCTCACAGCAAGGGCTGACGTGACTTTTGTCAGTGCTAGCACAGAAAAAATCTGTCCTTCCTACGTCTTGGGGTCATTTGGTTGACCTCTGAGCCTAGAGTGAAGTCAGCTTGTCTCATGACCCCTACAAAATACTGCAATCTCAGCACTGCTTTCCCGTGTTTTGTCTTATTATCCCCAACTCCTGGCTTGCAGCATCACTGATAGTTTGATAAGGGCACGTGTGGCCCAAGGTGGAGTGGTCCAAGGCCAGAGTGGTAAAATGGGTAGAAAATTATCAGAAAGAAGAAAAGATTTAAATGAAGCCTCCAATGATGCAGTTTCCATGGCAATACCCTTCCACCTACAGTTTTAATCCACTTTTTCAAGCAGCCATTCCAGGATGTGCAGGGAACCACACGACAGCTGCACATGTCCTATTTCTAACACATCTCCTGATTAAAATAATTATTCCATATATATTGTCCTGAATAGTAGAAGCTGAAGTTTCTGGGTAGCCTGGGGGAAGCTTATTCTCACAGTGCTAGATTCTTTCTGAAATAACACGTGTAGATGCAAATCCTAGCATTCACTGGGGCTAAAATGAAGGAAGCTCATCCCAAAGCTATTGCAGTGGGATACATCTCCTTGTTCCCATGAGATGTGTGTCACTGTGTTGTGTGTACAGTGCTCAGTCAGGGATGAAATCAAAGCTGGTCTTGCCTGTGCTGTAGGCTCCAAGCAGCAGGTTATTTTGTCAGAAGTTACAGGGATAAGGGTTAGAGCTACAGCACATGACTTGCCATCACACTCCGTGCTCAACCCTCTCAAAGATCCAGAATGGCCTCAAAGCCACCCCTCACTTCAAACTGTCATCTTAGGAGTGCTAACTGGGGAAGTATTTGGCAGATGAATCGTTGCTCTGTAATCCTGGTGGGACCACGTGATGATTACGACATTTTGATTCTGTGTGGGGATTGCATGGACTGAAATCAGAACGCAGGGAATCACCTTTGTAGTTCTGAGGATGCTATTTCTCGTTGTCGATGCTATTGTTATCTCAACTCCAGCTTCTAAAGTCTCCTGCAAAGACCCGTGTTCCTCCTGCTAAATAACATGACAGGATGAGATACAGGCTGCACCTAAGAGCTTGTAACGTGGTAGAGAAGGAGTGGAAGGGAAGTCAAATCCTTGACAGGTAGAGAACTAAAGAATGAGTAAACTAAGTGGTTTCCTTAAGGTTTCACACTGAGGCTGTGGCCATAGCTGAGTGCACATCCCTGGAGACCCAGACAGGGCTTTTATCACTAGGATGGCTCTTCCTTTGCTGCTCTCCCAGGCTGTCAGTCTCATTTGTCCCATAGAAATATTGAGATAGCGCTGGCAGATGCATTACCTAAAGAGGAAAACGTCTGAAATTATGCTTTCTTCACTCCAAGGAGTGCCAGGGGAAATCTACATTTCTACACAGCAACTATGTTAACCACTTGATTCCAAAGGAAGCAGATAGCAGGAAGATATTAGTGTGGGAATGAGCAAGTAAATAAAAGGGTAATTCTCCCCAATAAACTTCAATTCTCTGGGAATTATTTTTGAAGTCTAAAAAGTTAAATTACAAAGAAGTCTGCCAGAACAGGTAATGACTATACTTAAGGGAGAGGCAGTTGTCCTAGAAAATTTTATGTACTCTGGTTACAGTGCTGGAAGGGAGAATTTAACCAGTGCAGGGATCTTTGGGTAACAGCACCTCCTCCAAAGACTTCAGGAGGTACTTGGGCACTTCTTAGTGTTTAATATCTGAATAATTAAGGGCTAGATTATGAGCTCTTGACTTTTTAGCTTGACGCCTACTCTCTCACATAGGTACTTCCAGGGTCTTGAGAAGGAATAGAATGATGCTGGCCAGGAAGGGATGACAAATCTGACTTTAATGTGCAGCTATGCTGTTAATGTTAACATCTTAATTATGTTGTTAATACAGATGAAACATCTCCCTCTCTCCAAGATCACTCAGGCTGATGCCTACTGTTAAGCAATAGTGGAAACCAGAGCATCTGCATGTTTTTTGTTCATGAGCCCTCCTGGCTTTATGGGGATGGGAAGGGCTGTGTGAACAGTGTGTTGCTTGTATTACAGTTAACAATCAGGTGGAGGCTGGTGGGTAGGGTGCACCAGAGGTGGGATGCTGGTCACTGTAATGCCACAGATCCAGGAATTTGTGGGTGCATTTTTGTTTAGCAGCAGTTCAGTTTTATCCATGTGACAGAAGTGTGCAGAATGACTCTGCTGGGTGAACGTGACTCTGTGGAGTGTTATTTGCCAAGTACAATGCACAGAGAAGAAAATCTTATCTTGCACTTTCCAGTGTCCCCATTTCATAAATACGATGCATTAATATTCATTATGCCACGTGCATTATCATTTTGGAAGGAGATTACTGGGGATTCACTATTTTCTCTCCATCATATTTTCCAATTAGGATCCTCTCTTTTGCAAATAATAAGCTTTTTTTGTTGCCAGAGGCTTTGCAGCAAAGTTCCAGCCAGGACTTTGGAGCTCTGCTCAACATCCGTTTAAGAAAGAAGTGCAAATTGAAGAACAATTATATTTTTAATGACAAGTTAATCTTGCAGCACTACGTATGATTAGAGTGTAGTCTGGCAAGTGTGGAAGAACACAACAGCTTGTAGGAGATGTTCCCAAAAACCCTGCTGAGGGATGGGGAAGGATGATTAAATACACCACTGAGTTCACTGCAGGGGCAAAGAGACTTAGGGGTTCTTGGGGATGGACAAGAAGATAAGAAAAGAGTGAAGAAGTGAAGTTCTTCTTCCCACACCATGAATGAGTGTTTTAGCTCAGGATGCTCAGGACAAGAGAAAATCACTACTCACACTGCCCTATCCTCACTCCCCACTCTGCTCCGGAGAGTTACTTGGTGCCTACAGCCCTTCATGCCCACGTGGGCCTTGTGCAAAGTGCTCCAGTCTTGTTGAGGCTAATTAGTTGGCTCTGGATTTATCCTTCAGTTACCACGAAGTAGTAAAGGAATTAAAAAATCCAAAAAGAAAGAAAGAAATATAAATTTACAGCCAACCCTTTGACAGACTATCTATTCCCCACGCACACATAGGCATGCTAGTAAAACAGCCCTTTAAAGTTGTTGGTGTTGTCAGTTACAAGAGCAGCGTTTAACATTTAATGGTTGTTTTTGGTCAGAGCTGTTGCTTTTCATTGTTTGCTAGATTTGTTCCTTAAATTTGCTTGGCTCTGTGCCATGCAGTTCTTCTAGATTTGCTTTATGTTGTGCTTGGGATTGCAATATATGTTTTAATGATTTTTTTTTTTTTTCCTTTGAAGACATTTTATGAAATAATTTTCATTTTTCTTGCCCAGTCCGTTGTCTTGTCATATCTGATATTTAGCTTGAGGGCACAGGTGTCCCCTTACAAGCCTTCTAAACATGCTGACATGGTCTCATTCTCCTTGCAGTGCCAAGTCACCAATTATCACACTTGTGGGGATCCCTAAGAACATTTCAGGGTTAATCAGACTGGGCAGAAGGCTTCAGAAAATATGGTACAGTGCTGCCCTGTAACTCTAACAGAGGTCTATGGGAAAAGTGAAGTGCAGAGATGCTAAGGAGACAACTCTAGAAGTCCTCAGCCTTTACTTACGCTCTGTTATGAGAAGTTGGATTAGCTGCTCAATTAAAACAAATGCAAAGTGAGAAAGCTTTGCTGTGCATCGTGACCTTTTTATGTAAACAGACACTCGTTGCTGTGATTTGACCCATTATTTGCCAGGTTCATTTTAGCCAGCATTTCAGGCAGTGAGATGTTTGCATGAATGTTAGACTCTGAAGTTCAGAACTGTGACTCAGCATCAATGCCACGTGGTCCTGGTGTCTCCATGGTCCCTATTCCTTGTATGGATGATCAAAATATGGCGAGGTTTCAAAGATAGAGCAGGCCCATCTTGTTGTTAGGGTTCATTTCCAAGTTGAGAACGTGCACAATATATTTCCCCTAAGGGCCATGTCAGAGTGCAGGAGTACCCAACAAGCTGACCCTGCAAACAAGGGCACAAGCATCACCTTCCTTATATCAAATCTTCCCCCTCCACCTTGCCAGACCTTTCCTCAGCCAAACAATATTGACCTGTAGGTTTCTGAGTTCAATTTCTACTCCTGTTACATGTTTCCTGGCATGTTTATAGTGCTTCTAATTAATTATTTGTAATTGCTTCTGTTTTTCCCCTTTTTTTTGCCTTTATTTCTTGTTTCTCTCCCAGCCTTGGTAACAAGATGTTGCATCTCTCGAGGCTACCAGGGTAAAAGCCTATTAATAAATAATTAAGTTCTGAGGCTGCAGCAGTGTGGAGTCACGTCTTGCCATCACATGGTTGTAGTCTCCATGGTGACTCACCACTGTGAACTGAAATGCTCTCTTTGGGGAGAGGCGAGAGAAGGTTATATAGGGCAAAAATGTGCAAAGTTAAATTATATTTTAAAAAATTTAAGGCACCATCATGCTGA